AAGTACGGCTTTGGATCAGTTGGTTAAGGTGCGCTAATCCTGAGCTTCACATTTGGCAGGACCCGAGTTCGATTCCTGGTACTTGCAGCCTCAAAAAAAAAAAAATAATAATTATTTACGAATAATTAAATACAAGAATTATTTCCAAGACCACTGATGATGGATATTTTGTAATACTCGAAACAGCTGTATGGTCAGCCAAAAATTCAATTAATTAAAATAATATAAAAAATAAATTTTTGTTGTTGTATTTAACTACTGTTCGAAAAAAACTTCTTTATTACTTTTTAATAAATTTCTTTGTGTAAATTAAATTAAACAATTAATTAAATATAAAGCTGCAAAAAAACCTCAATTAACTTCAAACACGAACTCAATAAACGGTTAAAAACTTAATCTATTTAATGATGCAAAAAATAATAAATAAAATAATATGTAACTATTTTTCGAGAAAGTAAACAGCACATGTTAGTATTACATTTTGAACTAGAAGATAATTAAATATGGAGTTTAAAGGTTCAAAGGAAAATATAAGAATATAATATTTCTCTAGGTTTCGCTCTGTGAAATGGACGATGAATAATTTTTGTAAAAGTTAAGACAACGAAATAGTTAATAAATAGTTGTAAAGTTATTAAATAAAAGGTAAATTTATTTAAATTAAATGGTAAAATAGATACAAATATAAAAATGTATGAAAAAGCATAGATAAAAAGATATAAAAATATACCACAAATTCGGACTTCACTCAATATCATAGTCAAATATATGAAGTCTAGTACTTAAGATTTGACGGCAATAAATGAGACAAACGAAATAAAAAAAGGATTATCGAGGGTAATACAAATCGAAAAATATATGGAAAAAGTATGCTACCTGCACACCAGCTGCAGATTAAAAATATTTATATTAAATCCAGGACATATGGAAAAGCAAACAATCAGCAATAAAGATATATGTCACCATTTGATAAGGACTTCTGTTTTGAGGACTTTTTTGTGCACAAATTAAGTGCTATTTTTTAATTATTTTTTATTTCGGATAAATAAATAATGCAATAAATTGTACATGTGTAAAAAAGTCATTAATGAACAGTTCTTATATAAAATTTCACAGAATTATAACACTTATCAAGATATGACTAAAGTTAGCATATTTTAATAAAACATAGTCTTTGCTGGCTTTCAGGAAATAAAAATTCGTTATTCTCTCTTATCGAGCGGAATAAACAATTAATCCTCATAAAACAGAATACATTTAGTTATAAATAACATTACGTGGACTTTTATTAATATTTAAAATAAGCACTTAACAATATGTATTGGAATAAAATATTAAAAGCAATACCTGCAAAACTTACTAGACTGATAAAGCTAATACGGTTAAAAAGTGAAAATTCTGGCTTAATTATAGGAGAAACCTGAAAAAGTCAAGTGGTTTATGAGCTTTAATATGATTTTAAAAGCTGCATTGCAATTGCATAAAAATAAAAACACAATGAGAAGTGAATTTAATCAAATTGATTTTTATGATAGACTCAATCTACGAATCTTGTATTAAAACACTAATTATGAAACCTTGAAGAAATCTGGCACCAAAAAAGCAGTAACTAATGCATTAAGTCTACAGAAATGTAAATGTTGCGTCATTTATATATTTATTCTTATTAAAATAGATATCATGAAAAAAAATATTGTGCGTACTTAAATATATACCCGATTTAATCGGAATACATTTGACTCATAGACGTTAATTAAATTTGATAGAATATTTTTATCCCAATTATAAAAAAATTCACGTCACACCCTCAACCGCAACCGATTTTTTCCGTGGTGAAATCGGCTTTTCTTTGGTTTTAATGATCAATTACTTACTTATTAGGTCTGTATGATCTAATACTTTCAATAAATATTTTTTGCTTTGTGTTACATTTAGATAAATTCGTAATGGAAAGAAATTTTTCTATAGAAAGGTTCGCTATAAAGAAATATATACGTATATATAAAAAATCTGAAAAATTGCAGTATCTTCAAAAACAGTTTATTATATAATGTACATTATAGATGAACCAGGAGACCCTATGCTCCACAAGGAAATAAAGAAATTAAGACAAAGAAGAATATAGATAGATCAGACTCTTCTTACTTACTGCATTATTAAGCAGGATTCCTTAGTAGGGGTGATTCATATTAAAGGACTATAATTGATAACAGTGTTAAGTATTTGCATGCGATTATTTTGATTAAATTCACTGTAATTCAAAAATAAAACCGAATAATAAAATTATAAAGTTAGTCAAGAGCTTAAATATATGTACGAATGAAAAAACCATATTTCATCATTTTTACTAATAAAGCCAATTAGCTACTTCAACTAAACCGGAACCTGCTGAGCACTACGGCATCGGTGCTGACGGGCCACTGCATAATAAGTAGGTACGCTATGAGACTTGATCTACCATATAATGGGTTTTGTCGCTATTATGGTTCTGAGGAT